TTTAATTTTTAAGATGAAAAAATATATTAAAAATCTTATATTGACTTGTGAAATAATTATACTAATATATATAAATGAATAATAACTATATTCCTCGAGAGGAATGTTCAACATTTTTTTCTTATAGATTATTCCTTTGAGAATATTGGAATGCTTCATGGAACTTAATTCCATTTAAAACTATTGGAGCGATACTTTAAGATGTAGTACTACGTTTGAAAGCTTCTATGTTCTCAAATTGAATATGAAAATCCTGTGTAAGAATCCACACGTTATTAATGGGACCACATTCCAAGCATGGCGAGTAGGGTTTTTGAAAGTGTTAGACATTAATGATGATATTAAATCTACAAAAAACTTATGGTTAATAAATTAAAAGTTGACCATAGAAATTCATTAAAGTTACGTTTAACGTTTATTATAAATTAAAATACCTCTTTAGTCCTTATAAGTGCACTCATTTTATTTTTTTATTTTTGTTCCTATTGTTTAAATTAAAATATATTTTTTTTTAATTTCTAGATTTTTTAGTTTATATGCTTACAATTTTAACCATTTTTAATCTTTATTGTTAATTTTTTTATCACATTACTTTCGTATAAGTTATATGCACTTATTAAATTCATGTAACAATAATATAGTATTTGGTTTTTTGGATGACAATGTATCATTTAGTGATTGTTGTGCAATCATCATCAATTTAATTGTTCATTTAGATATATCACATTCAGTCATAGTAAATATTGATTATCCACAACTAAACTTTTTGAACCAGTGGTTGTAAGACATGTTCTTTGACATGGAGTATTGATTTGATATTCTTAGGTTCGATTCCTGTTGTTAAAACAATGTTTAGACAACTAAAATCATGTTTTGTGAGTACAAATTAATCCTTAGTTATTAATTTTGAGACATTGCATAGATTATATTTATAAACAAAAAAAATATTGACTATCTATAAAATCATCTTAATTCATCACTTTTCACAAAATCAAATACGTCACCACCACATAAATTTAATAAAATTATATTACTCACGTGAAAATAATGTTATAAAGTAATTAACAATATACACTATAAATAATTAAAAAATATATGTATACAAATTAAAAAAAAAATTTTAATTATAACGACTTAAAGATAAGATAAGTGAAACTATAAAGAAATTTTAATATATTAATGTTTATACCAAAATCTTACGCAATTCTTATTTTTTTTTAAATTTTTAACTATAAAAGTTTAATATAATTTAGTAATATATTTTGGTCCACTGGATATCAAATGTTGATGTTTATAATAATGCTATAAAGTATGGTATTTTAATGTCCAAAGCACTTTAAGATCTAGCTGAGGAATCAATTAGATAGTGTAGGCCATAGGGAATAATTTAAGGTCTATACGAACAAACGAACAGCACCTGCACTTCAATTAGATTTCAGTCAATATAAATTCTTTTAAAATAGGAGTAGTTTATTTGTTTTGGTGAACAAAATTGGAGTTGTTAAACAATAAAAACATGACTTCATGCTTCATTAGTTTAATTTTAAATTTTGTAATTTAACCGACATAATTAGTTATATTTTTAAAATTTATAAAACATAATAGATAACAAAATAAAATATTATCAAATATTATACATTCATATTCATGTAATAAATATAATATCAATAAGCCTTTAACATTAAAATTACACTTAGTAAATTTTGAAACAAGATATATACATAATAAGTCAAACCATATTGTCTAATTGTTTGAAGAACAATAAAATCCACATAAACTTAAAATCTGATAAAAAAGAAAATAAAAAAGAGTAAAAAAAATATCAACATATATAGTGCAGCCTAACAGTAAAAGAGAAGTAAAATTTGTGTGGTAAAAATCACAGAATGATTGATGAAAAATATGTTATGAATGTGACTGTGGAAAAAAGAAAAGCTAGCTAGGTTTAGACTAGAAAGGCTCTGCATAGTGCACATATAGGTAGCTGCAATATAATCTCCTGATGCTGGAATCACTTTTTTCAGGGTCAAAAAATATCAACAAGTGCTCATTTGCCCTATTATTTCCTTCATTCGTGACAATATTGAAATGAATCAAAGTGCTTCAGATAACGACAAAACCCTGCATGATTTTGCTACTCAAACATGAAAATGAAATTATCACTATTAATAGAAGTAGAAAAGCTAACCTATCTATATATAAATTACAAGGCAAACTCTATAAAAGGAAAGACATCGGTTCGCAATCTTCAAGAATGAGAACGATGGAAATATAGGATTAGCAATGAGTATTCTATTCATGTAAATTACTGTGAAATTTAAAATTATTTTTACATTCATCTAACGATGTTATTTAATGAATTTAACAAATTCACAACACACATCAAATAATATTATACAAGTTAATTAATTTATACTCATAATACAATTAATTAAATTATATTACAAATATTTTAATGTGAATATAAATTTATTTATTTTCATATTATAGCCAGATATATCCAAAAACAAGTAATTACATAATTAAAATTTGTTTATTGATACATTATCTTAATTTGCATACAGCTAAATGCATAAACCATCCTCCTTAATTTATAAATTGAATTATTACTTATGTCACCATATTCAGGGATGGATCCAAAATATACTAAAGGAGTGAATTTTTAACAATAAATTTAAATAAATATTAAATTATAATCATTAAATATATTATATAGTTTATTTAAAATATAATTTTTTTTTAAATCATAACATTAATTTAATAATATAAAATATGGTATAAACTTTTAATCAATTTATCTATGTAAAATCAAACAACTAATTAAAAATATATCTTTGATCTCGTTCTTAATTTTATTTTTTATTGTCTACATGTCTGAAAATAATTTATCGATTATAACAACTGAAACAACAAGAGTTAATCTGAAACAAATTAAAACATATCAATGAAAGAATAAATCAAATATTTCATTGATAATTGTATATTTATTTTTATAAACACAATTTTTCATAGTATACTTACAAAGAGTCAAACGAAGTGAGGGAGGGGGCAAGGCTCCCTTGGATTCGTCCTTGACTATATTTATATAAAACTATCATGTTATTAATGTTATAAGAGTCAAACACAAAACACTAATCTATTAAGTATTATATTAAATATTTTATTTTAATAAACATAATATTCATAACACTAACAACTACTTAAAGAACATTCGTGATGACTTTGCTTTATCGACATCGACTTTGCATGTGGTTAGTCTTTTTCTCATTGATTATTTCGTATGTTTACCTTAATTTAGTCCATAAATAACTAATTTTAGGGCTCAACTATTAAAGAAAGCAATTATTTTTTGACTTAAATATTTTTAATAGAATGTTATATTTATTAATATGAAAGTCAATACTAACAAGTTTTGATCTGTGTTTGTGATGTTAAACTCAATTCTTTTAAATGTAATTTGGAGTTTAAATTTTGTGAGTGAAAAAATGTGTTTGACAAGATAAATAAATGATCATTCTCTGTTCATTTATTTCATTACTAAAATTTTGAGAAAATAAATGTAAATCTCAACAAAATATGTATCATTTTTTTTTTAAATTTTCAAAAAAGATTAAGAAACCGAAAAATGAAAAAAAAGAAAAAAAAGAAGAAGAAGGGAGAGTACTCTTTCTCTCATTAATGGCAACTAGCCATATTTTTCCAAATTAGTTATATCAATCAGAAAAAATAGTCAATATTTCACGCTAATAATTTAAAGATGAAAAAAAAAACTTCACACCTATAATATGAAGATTAAAAAAATAAAATTTTGATGAGAATCACAATACTTAAATATTATAAACTCCGTTACAAGCTACTCCAATTCAACTTTTTTTTAAGATTAATTTAGATATAATCACAGCATGAGTTTTATAAAGTACTAGTATTATGGAGTACATTAGTTTCGTAAAATACAGTGAACAAACTCTACGATAACTAGGTGACATATATATATTAAAAAAATGTTTAATTAAAGTAGATGTGATTTTCTATGCAAGTCAAATTGTTAGTTGCCCGAGTTCCATTATGACCCGTAGTCACCAATTTCAATACAGAAAGTTATTATTATATTGTTTTAACATTTCGTAAAAAAATATACTCTTCTACTAGTCTAGGTTCTGAATATAAAACATAAAAAAGTACATATTTATATAAATATTTTTTATTTAATGCTAAGTTTTTTTTTAATATTTATTCATTTAATTGATATTATATTTTTAATGATTATTTTTATTCTTAATATAAAGTTTAGAGAAAAATGATTGTTTAAAAAATTAATTATTATTTTTATAGATAATTGCGCATATTTAATATTTATATAATATATATACGTTCTTGTATTTTCATGGAGTTGCATAGTGTTCTCATTCTCTGATTGTGTTCGGGAAAAATGGTTCCTATTTTGGTCACAAGAATTTTCAGAAGAAGGCCAAAAGGGATGGTGGCATACTGCCATAGTCCCTCTGTTTAAGGTACTTACAGTGGAAGAATACTGCTTCTGGTTCGGTTCTTGACTTAATGCATATGCATACACACCATTTTCTGAAAGATAAAAATAAAAAATGAATAACATCTGTTGGCTTAAAGCCCAACAGAAAGATGGATCATAGATTACTCTCCGGCCCATGTTGTTAAGGCTTTTTCAACTACATTTCCGTCTGGTCTCAAGGTCTTAACTCCAAAGTGTTGCATTCAATGATAAGGAAAAAAAAACTGTAATATTTGTGTGTGTTTTGGTTGAGATATTTTTTTTGCACTTCCTCTCTTTACATTTTTCTACTTTTTTTATATATTCAAAAATTATATTATGGTCTCTAAAAAAAATAAACTGTTATTCACAAATTTTTAGTTGCGTTGGGCTAATCCGTGGGCTGACCTTGTCCAACGGGCTTAACTTGTTTCGGGTCCAAAGCTGGGCCCATTTGCAACACGGCTGAATGCTCAGCGAGCAAGGAGTCATTCATCTATTATATCTCTTAATTTTTCTTCTTATTTACTGATTTTTTTTTTGGTGAATTATTCAAGCGAGTCTCACAATCCCTCTAACTACTGTAAGTGTAACTGAAACCCTATTTTAGTTCCATTATTCAATAATGTTTTTGTCTCCACCAATTTTCTCCGTTGTGAACTGGATCCGTTATGCATTTTGTCTTTGAAATCGTGACCTAAATTGGGTTCTCTTCGCTTTATTTTTTTATCACCATAATTGCTTTTCTGTCGTGTAATGCACAACGATACTGTTACTAGCATGTTATGATTTCATGGAACAAATGTGAGAAATGAAGTTTGCAACATCAATTCATTTGGTCAATAGAAAAAAATATGTAGCATTAGAGGTGTTTGTGAATTTGCCTGATTGGGTAGTTGTTGTGTTTTGTAGAGAAAAAGTGGTTGTTAAGTTATGGCGGGGAAGGGTGTTGGGTGTGTGGCAAAGGCAGTAGCAGAATATCAATATCCTTGGCGTGAGAAGTTGGTGAAATATAAGGATGAACTTGCCAAGGGTGTGTGGGGATACTGGGAGCTAGGGGCCTGGAAGCCACTCAGTATCAGTGCTAGGCGTCGTGCTAGACTCCGCAAGGAAGTCCTCCTTGCTGGGGAAGATTGGCCCTATGATCCTCAAAGGAAGGAGATGAAGACCAAGAGGAAGGGCCACAAATGTGATAGGATTGCCGCCGAGAAGCGTGAAAACACTGTGAAGTTGATGGAGAAGATGCCCCAGATGTTGCTGGATTACAAGAAGAGAAGGTGGCAGAAGAAGATGAAGGAGGAAGACAAGGGAAAACTTTGATTTTCCTCCTCCTCTAGTTTTGCCAAGATTCATCACAAACTTTGCCTATGGTGTATTTACTCATGCAATGTTGCACTTGTTTTTGAGCTTAATGGATGATTAGCTTTTGTTATGTGTTTCAAACTTTAAATTCATAATACAACCCTTTCAAGAGGCCTTGTGATTATCAGGGGGGCAGAAAGCTTATTTCTACAATGGAAATTACTGTTATATGGTTTTTGTTTATGGATATGATTGGTGCTTGTAATAGCATTTATTTGGTGCCCGGTGCTGCACTCTCTTCTGAAGATCAAGTGCTTGCTCTTGTTTGAAATCTCAAACACAGGTATGTTGATAATTGATACCACCTTCTTAATGCATGTGTGATTAAGTTTGTTTTGAAGAAGTAATAGCATTTCGTTTTGCAACACTTTTGGAGGGTTTGTTTTAAATATCGTTCCTCCAGATTTAAGTCGATCTAATTACTTTGTTGCACCTTAGGCTTACTCTTGTGATTTTATTCTTATTTTGATGGGTGAAAACAGAATGAAAATGCAGGGGTTGAAAAGCAGTGAGCACAATATTTAAATATAGAGTGGTTAATATTTCCAATTAAACTTTTGAATTTGATTTATTAGCGTTCAATTCAGTCCAACTTGCATCACAATGTTGTTATGGAAATTTTCTCCTTTGTTCCAAGAGTGTATCGCAAGCAAATTTTTTAGTTGAAATGTACGGGCAATGTTCATGCTAGATATCAACCTTCCTGTACATTAGATAGTGGCCCCTGTCCTAGTTGTTGCTAAAAGCATGTACTCATTGTTTTTAAACAACCCACATGGTAAGATAGGAAAAAATGGTATCAAGTTCGCGCTAGAAATGTTAGATATACGAGTTTCAAATATGAATTCGTACTTAAATTTTATCACCTACTATTCTAACAAAATCGTAATAATTTCCTCTCGAGGTTTAATTTTTATGCATTTTGGTGTGGAGTGAGATTTAAAGAGACGAGCCATTCATTGGCTTGACAAGATACAATTAAACTTTTTTTTTTAATTTTTTTTCAACATGAAGATCTTGTTTAGTGTAAATTTTTTAGTCCAAATAAATGAAGGTTAAAAATTATGTATAAGAAAATAAATAATTGGGTCAAACATTGAAGCTAATGCATCAATCTTGAAGATGAGCTAGGTCGAGAGAAAATAAAATTGGGATTGAATTTTAAAATCCGCTCGTATCATATATTGGACTATTTGTTTCAAACTATCGGACTCAACTCACTTTGATGCTTTCGTACAAGGGGCCACTTGCTTTAATAGCCCTCTAATGTGGTTAAAAGTGCATTTAGAAAATGAAGTTATAAAAAAATTTAAGAAACTAACAAATGTTTAAAATTGATAAAAAAAATGTTTAATGCATCTTTATACGAATTAGATTGTATATAATTTCTTTTTCTTCTCATGCATTAGTGTTATTGTAATTTAAATCAACTCCTGAACTTTTTTTTTTTTGTGTGATCTAAGAAAGACGAGGTTGTAATTATTGTTATATTAATTTTATTTTATACTTCACTATTTAAAGAAGAAAAATAAAGTTATAAAGTGAAATGGAATGAAATAAATATCATTCAGTTCAATTATATCTCACTCTTTTCAAAAAAATAAAACAAAAATATCAACTAATACTATTTATCCTTTTCCATTAATTTAAATAAAGTTAAAAAATAGTTATAGTTATGTAGGAATGCAAGTATAATAAACTACCTAAGAAAAGCCTATTACCTTACTTGTTAAATACAAACTTTGTCTTTCTAGAGAAACCTATTTAATTACACAAGCTAAAATTAGGATTTATTGAATGAGACAATTTATTTTGCTAATATTTATGGATAAAAGAAATTAATCTCTAGTAGTCATTTCAACTGCAGTAAAAAAAAAATTATTTAAGTAATAGGCTAACTTGATTTAAACATATAATTTAAAATTTTAACCATTATACTTTATTGATTATAAAATTATTTAAAGAAATTTAAATATATTTAACGTTTATAAACTTTTAAATAATGTTTTGCGACAATCTTCAATTTTAATTTTCCAAATGAAAAAAATATACAAAATGACAGATAAGGTTTAAGTTAGCATCTAACTTTAAACTTATTTAGGTAAAGAATAATGTTATGAATTTGCGAACCAGAAATGGATGGGGAAAATCCAGCTTATCGATATCTTCATTATTATTTCCTTTGTTTGATGCCAACTTCTTAGATGACAAGAAACCATAGGCCGGCAAGGCAAACGATGAGAACGTGGTTCCCTTAACTAATAAAGAAAGTTACACAAACAAAGGTACCAAATACTTGACACAAAGCTAATTAGTGTTCAAGCAAGGCACATATGCCCTAAATGATGCAAACAAAAAGGCTTTTACCCAAAAAACACACAATCAATTTATCAGATAAAGGGAAAATAATTTCAATCATTAATTAATTAAATTTTATTAAAATTAAAATAATAATAAATGGAGGTTCTAACAAATTTTTTAAACATCATACTTCCTCAACCAATAATTTCTTACGAATTTCAAATTAAAAAAATTATATTCTAGAATTGTGTTGTTATTAATATTAATATTTATCTTCCTCGTGCGTGTTTGTTTTTCGTTGCTTCCAGTTGAACGTCAATCTAACTAACATCACTCTTATTTTTACTTTTTGTTTTGAAAATTGAAAAAAATTCGTTAAATGATAAACCGTATTTAAACAAAAAGTGAAACCAAAACATTAAAAGGACAGTTAGTATCGAAAATTCTGCAATAGGAATTAAATTTATACTATTAATAAAGGAGAATATTTTATTTAGGATACATATTTGTTTAGATCATTTTATTTATTTTTTAATGGGCAAATCTATACTATTAATATATTTTTAGACATGGAGATGCAAGTAACTTTTTTCCGGTGGTATTAAAAAAAAAATAAAATAATAACGAACATCCATTTTTATTTATTTATTTATTGTTGTTCTGTGTAATACATATTTTAAAAAATTGAGGGTCCCTTCCTCTTGGTTTTTCAAGTGTCATTTCATTTCAAAGGCATATTTCAGAGCCATTGTTCTGCTGCGTTAATCTCAGGGTTGTGCATTAGGGTTCAGGGTAGGGATCGAGCTTTTCGCGGAGTTCTGTCTAAAGCTCCAAGCTTTAAGGGTTCTCCGGAGTCCAATTGAAACAGGTTTCTTCCCAATTTGTTGATGCCTCGTTACATTGGTCGATTTCCGAAACTCGATCTCTCCCTCCTCATTCAGGTCCGATTCTTCGTATTCTCGTCATACATGCACGCTTCTGTTGCCTAATGCATAGCCCTTTTTGTTTTTGTTGAATGGGGGTTTCGTTTCGAAATTTGGTCGTTTAAGGAGACAAGGTGGTTGTTGTTGTTGTTGTTGTATTTTTGAAGATGAAAAGAACGAAAACTGATCCTCCCAACTCGCGGAGGTTTAGATTGTCTCATTTTTTGTTTGGCATTGGGGTGTTGTACTTGTTGTTTGTGTCGTGTAAATTTCCACAGTTTCTAAGGATTTTATCAACGTTGAGCGGGGATGAGAGTGATGATAGGTTGGAGGGTGCAGCTGTTGGGGACTCTGAAGATTCAGATTTAAGCAAGTCTTTTGTGAGTTCTGTTTATAAGGATGCATTTCACAGGAGATTGGAGGATAATGTGGACCAGGGTGCCCCATTGAGGCCAAATGAGGAGCCAACCAAGGACGGAGAGCGTCTTCCCGAATCGCCGAAACAGATTCGGTCAGGGTATGGTAGGATAACTGAGAAGATAATGCAGGAATATAAGAGGACCAATGCTTTATCTGTGCTTGAGAGGATGGCGGATGAGGCGTGGATATTGGGGTTGAAGGCTTGGAGAGAAGTAGATAAGGTTGATGAGAAGGAGTCGGTGGAAAGCTCTGTCCTCGATGGAAAGCCCGAGTCGTGTCCTTCTTGGGTATCAATGAATGGGGAAGAGTTGATTAAAGGAGACAATTTGATGTTTCTTCCCTGTGGGCTTGCAGCTGGTTCGTCCATCACTGTGGTGGGGACGCCCCATTATGCTCACAAGGAGTATGTTACCCAGCTTTCCAAGGCAAAGAAAGGTGGAGGATTGGTTTCAGTTTCACAGTTCATGGTTGAGTTGCAAGGGCTGAAGTCAGTTGATGGGGAGGATCCTCCAAAGATCCTTCACTTGAATCCTCGAATAAGGGGAGATTGGAGCAAACGGCCAGTAATTGAGCATAATACCTGTTACCGAATGCACTGGGGAACCTCTCAAAGATGTGATGGTCTGCCATCTGGGGATGAAGAAGAAATGCTTGGTATGGTATATCATATTTCATATTCATTTTGAAATATGTATTAGAAGAAAGAAAAACGTGTTGTAGGAATGAGTCTCCACCATTGTCATTATTGTTATTAAGAGCATTTGATATCTTTCTAAAGGTGAAATAAGAAAACACAAAAAAACAAAATCATGAAAATAGGGGCACCTTAATTCTTGCTCACTGCATGGTCAACAGAAATATAAGGTTTACCTTCCTGGTTGGTTCATTTTTTATAAAGCTGTAAAACATAAGATATGTAATGGTTATTGTAGTTATAAGCTATATCGTTAAATTGTTTAACATATGTCTGTTTGTTTCCTTATAATTTATTATTATTATATTTGGCAGTTGATGGATACAGACGGTGTGAGAAATGGATGCGCAATGACATTACAGACTCTAAAGAGTCCAAGACAACATCATGGTTTAAGAGATTTATAGGGCGTGAGCAGAAGCCAGAAATGACCTGGCCATTTCCTTTAATAGAGGGCAGAATGTTTGTTCTAACACTGCGAGCTGGTGTTGATGGATACCATATTAATATTGGGGGTCGCCATGTAACTTCATTCCCATATCGAACTGTAAGTTTCTTGAGATAATATAGGTGTTTTTATCTTTTTGTATTTTGCTGAATGACATAGGTATATTTATCTATCACTTGTACTAAACATCTGGATGATCTGAAATTGCATATCTAGCTTATTAATGACAATAATCTAGTGAATTTAAGCTTTTATTTGCTTTCATTTTACTTTATTGGATTTCAAAATGTTCTGTTGAAATCCTTTTGTATATATAATTATGGTTTATAGATATAGAATTTTGGTTTACCCTCAATAATGTGGTAATGGAAATAGCTCTTGTTCTACATGTTGAAGAGTGACTCAATTATCAAATAGCTTAATCGTTGAGAATAATTGGAATTTATTTCCATTGTTTTATAATCTGCTGCTGTGGTCATTTTTTTCCCGTCTAAAATTTTCTTTCTACCTTATCTTCAGGGATTTACACTAGAGGATGCTACAGGATTGGCAGTTAAAGGGGATGTGGATGTTCATTCAATTTATGCTACATCTCTTCCCACTTCCCATCCAAGTTTCTCACCTCAAAGAGTGCTGGAAATGTCAGAGACCTGGAAAGCCAGACCTTTACCAAAACATCCTGTTAAACTTTTTATTGGAGTTCTTTCAGCTTCAAATCACTTTGCAGAACGTATGGCAGTTAGAAAGACATGGCTGCAATCAGCTGCAATCAAGTCTTCAGATGTAGTAGTACGATTCTTTGTTGCACTGGTAAGGTTTCTGTCTTTATTTTTATCTGGCATAGAAGCATTTAGTTATTCACTCAGGACATGAGTACAAAGAGATGTGTGATACCAAGAATGTCACATGATCCGCAAAAATGTGATCCCCATTGGCAATGGAACCCATTGACTTTGGGTCATGCTATTTGAATGCTAAGATACCTTTAGCAGCAGCTATCAACTTGACTGAACTATTGTGGGTTCCATGAAGCTATCCTCATTGAATAACATGCCTACACATACAACTTCTATTCTTTCAAACCAATATTCTTCACATAATGTTGTCACTATAAATCAATTGCAAATGCATGTGTTTAGAATGACGTTTTAGGTTAAATAATAAATCACTACATCAGTTGTATTAGATATACAAACCATTCATTTGTTTTCATTCTCCTAACAACTTGCTTTTTGGATATTTGGTCCATGGCATGGGATTAGAGCCTTTATGACCATGTGGCCTAGAGTTCAACCCTTATTCTTAATACAAGCTAAATTTTAGCACAAGGTAGGGTAGGTTTATCCATAGTCTATACTTGAAAGTCAAAAGGGCACTTGCATGAGAGGACAGATCAGATATAAAAACCATACGTGCTTTTTTCCAATAGCAGCTTGAGCTTTTGGGGTAGTTGGTTCATGACAAGTTGATACAAGGGAAACTTGGCTGCTTTTGCATAATACTTCCTAAATTTGTAATTCTCCAGGATTGGTTGCCAACACTGATTTTCCACTTTCGGTTTAGTAATAGAATCACAAATATATGTCAAGATGTTGGATTTACATGAAATAATTTCTCTGTTGATATAGAATGCAACTGCTTGCTGAAAAGAAAACCATTAGTTTAATTTACACACAATTAGATATATACACGGAATGTGCAATCAATGCATACATATGAAAGAAACTTTGAGTTTTGGTTTTGTTTAGAATTCTTTGATGGCATTCTGTGTATTTTTGTTTCATGTCCTGTGTCTCTTGTAATGATATGGTATGGCTAAATTCTGTTTTTGTGCCTGTTATAAACAACAATTAAAGAATCCAAGGAAGGAAGTAAATGCAGTGCTGAAAAAGGAGGCTGCTTACTTTGGTGATATTGTCATTTTGCCCTTTATGGACCGCTACGAGCTTGTTGTGCTTAAAACTGTGGCCATTTGTGAGTTTGGGGTGAGTTTGATTCTTTCAACTACTCAAAACTGCTCCCTATCCAATTCCGTTAGCTCTTTTATTGTTGTGTTTTCTCGAGTATAAAAGTTGATTTTCATTTATGCAGATTCAGAATGTGACTGCAGCATATGTTATGAAATGCGATGATGATACATTTGTTAGGGTGGATACTGTCTTGAAGGAAATTGAGAAGGCACCCCAGGGAAAGTCCCTTTACATGGGCAATCTCAATCTCTTGCATCGGCCTCTGAGAAATGGCAAATGGGCAGTCACTTATGAGGTATGATAGTTACAACATACATGAGTTGTGTTTCCTTGCTTTTGTTAGTTAATTTTAACAATCGACTGTCAGCTCCCCTTGGAGCTTAAATATAGTATATAGAGATTTGGGTTTCGATTGTATATCCTATTACACCCCCTAACACAGGTAAGTGAAGTTTGTTTGGCACTACATAGGATCTTAAAAATGTGAAAACGGAAACTATAAACCTTCTGTTCTGATGCCATGATCGCTTTTTTGTTTTACCCAAAGAGGGTCCGAAAGGGTCGGGTAAAAACTCAGATTATGCAATACAATTACTACTTGTTACTAAGCATAGAAGTGTAAATATGATTTTGACTGATGTGTCAGTGCTCCGTTGCTATGCTATGCTACTTCTGAATCTCTGATTGACATGTATTAAGGATGTAGGATGCTGTTTCATAGTTATATTTCTATTTTGTAATTGGATTCTCTTTCCCTTGGT